TACATTATATATATTAGTGAATTTCCTAACCTGAAAATCCCCAATATAAATTGTTTAGATAATGGAGATAAAATACTTTTTTTTTCTCCTCTGCTGATATATTATAGTATACAATTTTTTATAAATATTTTCTAATAACAGTTACGTGCTGTTTAACTTATAAATTTATATCCAAAGTAGCTCAACTTTATTTAACACTAAAAAGAATTACTCAATCTGTCAAGAAAAATTAGATGTTGCGCAAAATCAGATGACTGCATCAAATCATATTCTCATTCATCAACATTTTTTTAATAAAAAGAATGCATATATGTAATTAATATATATAATTCAATCTCATGATCATGGATTTATAACCAACTTCGTTTTTCTTAACGTATCCGCTATTTAAATCAATAATGGAATCCAACTAAAAATTCCTCAAATACATTACTGTTATTTTTATGTTTGGGTGTTTTACAAACTATTTAATCACTTTGGATCTATTCCATTTCTCAAATCATGGTTGAATTTAAGAAAATTCAAATCTCAAATTATTTTGCTTAAAACAATTAGTGATATTTTGAAATAACTAAAGCTTCATAGAAACTAAGAATGATTTTTATCAATTTTTCTAATGCTTATAATACAATAAATAATACTAAATTATAGAATTTAATACAACAAAACGAAGTAACGAGCAAGAAATTTAAAATTTAAAAGCTATACATAGTAGAATTATTTACATATACCCATATAATTAGAAAGATTAACATAATTATGCTGATCGTGTCCCTTAAGGATTGCCAATTTCTCCATAACTGTTTTTATATTTTTATGGATGGGCTTTTAAGAAAACATTCTTGATTTCGTTTTTATAATGAGGTCATTCAATATAAAAAAATTTATACTATCTCGATCATCTTTAGCTGAATTATGGTATTAATGAAAAAAAAATCAGGTATTCTACCAATCAAAAATAAATTAAATGTTTATGAGATTGATGGTTTTCCAATTGTTAAAAATATAAATATTTAAGAATATAAATTGATATAAAAGGTTAAATTAAGCAACATATCAATAAAATTGAAATAATGTAATATAAAATAAGTATTATTTAAATATATTTCAATTAAAATGGATTTTGCATAATAAATTTTATTAGATTTAATATACATAGCCATATTTCAATTACTGCTGAATTATAGAATAATTTCAAAATAAAACAATTAGAATAAGATTGCATTTATTAAAGAAAAAAGTATTCAAAGATCTACTAAGACTCCCAAAACATACAAAATATATACATTACGAGATGTCTTATTAAGTAAATATCAAATGCAAATATCATAATCTATTCTAAAAATTTTAAAAGACATATTTTTTATTCATTAAATTCCAAAAAATACTCAATATATTTATAAATTAGCTTGGACACAGCGTTATATACATAATAATTCAAGATTGACAGCAAAGCATATAATAACACAATATCTTGAATTTTAAAATGAAGGAGTATTCTATTAAAGTTTAAAAAAAAAAATTGAAAAATTAGGCAAAGGAATATATTGAAGTAGAAATTTAAAAATTGTTATCTAAATATAGAAGGAAAGTAATCAAATGAAAAATATGAACTTCTTAAATTATGTTTTGTGTTTTTATCTAAATTAGGGCTTTACAATAATAATTTTTAATTTCTTTTATTATTGCAAAATGTTTTTTTATTTTATAAAGGCTTTACAGCTAGTGATATTTAAGTTTTTCAAAATTTATATTTATTTATTCATATTTTGAATTATGTTTTTAAAAAGTTAGAATTTGTAATTACAAGAAGTATGCTAACCAATCAAAAGCTCATGCAAAAGACTATTCATAATTTTGTTGTATTTTTTCCTTAAAATTATAATTTATAAGTACATTTTAGTCCTTTCGATTTCACAATTAAGTGATTGGAGCATATAATTAATTTTTTAATAAAAATATTATTTAATTTTCGTAAGTTCATTACTTAAGCTTAAAAATATACAAATCGTTTCATTCAAGATAAATTATTTTTTTTTAATTTATCTTCCATATATATTTATGGGAAAATAATTTTTTTTGATATTTAATAATGTAAATTATATTTAAGAATAGGAAATTTTGAAATTATCTAGGAAAGATACCAATTGATTGATAACTTCATATGAGGTAAGCATGCAATTCTTTGTTAAAAGTAATTAGAGATAAATACAGATTAAAAGTAATTTTGATAAAAAATTAAATATGGTTTCTATTTGATTATGGTTTATATTTAAATGAAAATTTAGTAGGTTATTAAATTATTGGATTGGTAATTCATTTATATATTTGGATTTTATTATTTTCTTTTTAGCTCTGAATAATGATTATCCTTGCAAAATATATATACACTGTGAATTGGTAGTTTAATTTTATTTATCTTCCAACCAAACATATGTTCAATAGCATTGAATTCTGGTCGATAAGCTGGAGTGAATATGCAGTGCGTCTAAACAAAAATTTTTTTCATTTAGGAGGATTTATGGATACTACAATTATCCATTACGAAAACAAATTTTTAGGATTTATAAAACTCTTAAGCTTTGTAAACAATTGAAGTTACAAAATCCTAAAATATATATGCTTTCCCAGTTCCTTCAAATAATTGAAAATACAAGAAACCCTTAGTTCCTAAAGCGCTAATCAAATACTTAAAAGTTGAAATTCTGTGAGTTGTTTGCTTAAAAGATCCTAAAACATGCCACTATTTATGAGTGTATTTTGAGATATTCCCAAGAGAGCATTCATCAATGAAAATAATGCTGTAATTTTCATTCAAGTATCCACATAAAGTAGAGATGAATTAAACTGTTTCTTCATTTTTTCCTTCTTTTTAAAAAAAAGTTAAAGGTTTTAGAGAGGGAGTTCGATATCTTATTTATTATTAATGAAGAATCTTTCTAAATTATTGTATGCTAAGAGTTTAATCTGGAAATTTATTAAGAAAAGCGTTTCTGAAAGAAAACGCATTAAATAATACAGAATTCGATTATTGTTAAGCTTAAAATTTGAGCCAAGTTTTTTCAATATTTGTTAGCTAAATCTGTTCCCTAGATTGATTGAGGTTTATATTGAATTAATTTCTTCTAACCTATTGAGGAGAAACCCCTAATAAGGCTGCAATAATACAATTTCTATATCCTTATGCTTAAAGTTATTCTATTTACATTCTCTAAGTTTAATTTAAATTCTAACATCTTAGAATTACATTTTTTTTCCAATTGCTTGGTTTCTTTTATTTTTTTTATACTAACTTTTTATGTGCTCTAGAGTTCAAGATATTTTATAAATATATTTGGCAATTATACAAGGGCAATGGCTCTATTTTTTTGATTCTATTCCTAATGTGTTAATTCTGATATATTTATTTTTTAAAGGTTAAACAAGTACTATCACAAACTTAATGTTTTGTTAATAATGGTTAACATTCATAAAAAGTCTCCCGATTTTCAATTTTATTACCTTTATAGTATTTACCAATTTTACTTTTTAATGCTTTTTATTTATAAAGAAAGGGTTTTTTTGGAGAATAATCAGAATCGGAATCATCAGACTTCTAAATCATAAATTTTAATAATAAAAATTAATAGATTTTGTTCAAAAAAATTTTCTATTATAAAGTTCATAGTCGTCTTCGCTAAAATGAAATTTTATTTAAATTTCTCTTTTGTTTAGGTACCTTCATTATTATTTTTTATTAAATCAAAAATAGTATGAACTAAATTTAAGAAGAAGAATTTGTTGCTCTTTCAAGATAACAAGCCAATCAATTTATCCCTTCATTAGAATCAGCTTATTATGGATTAGTATTATAGGGAAAATATTTACCAAAATTGAATTCTTCAATAATTACATCTGAATATTTATTAGGTGTACTATTTGAATCTTATTATGTTCCACAAGTAGAAGAAATCAATATTGGAGTTCTCCTTAAACCAATTAAGAAACTTGAACTAATCGACGAGCTTCTAAAAATTTAGATGAATGGATAAAAATGGGGAATTGATTTAAAACATACACCAAATAAAGAATGGATTGTTAATGTCTTAAAAACTTTGAAACCAGATCACTTTATATTTAAAACTGAAACAGAGATAGGTAAATTTGATATGAAAAAATTTACAAATGAACAAATTGCGTAAATTTATATATTTATTTATTGTAAAGAAAAATTAAAGAATTAGATTTGTCGATGGGTAAGAAGTCGAATGTGAGGAGATTCTTTAGAATATCCAAAGAGAAGTAGATTGAACTTGAGAAGCAGAGATAAATAATAAAAAAATAAGCTTTACTCTAAAAAATGAAGAGAAAAAAATCATAAATAGATGAATGTAATAAGGATATAGTATAAATCGAAGAAAAAGTAACTAATATTTAGAATAAATGAATGAAAGAATTTACTATGATTATCATATAAATAATTATTTATTTAGAAGTGTGATGTTAAATTATAATTTTTTTAACACTTTCTAAAATAAATATGAAACATTTTTTTTAATAACTGCCTCATATAATATTCTCTGTAAATATTTCGATATCTTTTATTTCTGTTTCTGGCCTATCTAGAAATTTGTTCTCTTACCTTACAATTTGAGTGTTATTTCTTTTTAATAATAAAAACTATTTACTCATTTAGATTTTATTTCACTAAAATTTATTCATCCTCAATCATTAGGACCAAGGCAGTTGACTGTTCTAGTTTCTAAATGTTTTATATTCGAATCAAATCTAGCTAAGATTTACTCTTTTTTAAAGCTGGGGGTTATAATTAACTTTGGATAGTATTTTAATTTATAAATCCATATTTATTAATTTCAATTTCAAATCTCAAGTATAAACTGATCAATTCATAGAATTAGTTTGATTTGATATCATACCTTTTTAATTAAGTATATTACTTTAGGATTCTAATCGAGTAACTTTTTTGTACTTCTTAATATCTGAAAGCTTAAATTTCTTCAAGAAAACAATAAAATTCTAATTGTTTTCTTATTCAATTTTTGATAAATAGGTTTTTTTTAAACATTCTAACATTGTTTAAACATCTCGGTTAGAATTCAAATATAAGATTTGAGATTATTCTTAAAGATCATATTTCTTCATTATTGCCAGACATAAGATTTGAATTTGCTCAGACACTTCGACTTTTTTCGAAATTTTGGATCCCTGTTTTTCATAATTTAGGTTAAACTTTCTTTATTTAATGGCATCAAATTTTAGATACTGAATTTCATAAATTTCAAGGTCACACTCAAATAGTAAATATAAGAGCAAAGCATGTCTTAATTAATTATTCTCAATCAAAATTGATATTAGCTTTTCGCAATTATATAAAAATTCTTCAGAATTAATTTATTCTAAATCTTTCTACTTCAGCATTTTGTTTTTAATTTTTAATTTCGATTTTAAACTCATTTATTTGCCTATATAAGTAAATATGCCTACCCATTGATTCATGTAATAATCTAATTGCTTATAAGCTTTTTTATTTATATTATTCAGAGTTTAAAA